TTATTTTCATTAATAATTTCAATAATAATATAATAATCATCATTAATAATATATTGCACGCATTAATACATTTTACTACGCATTAATACATTTTACTACGCATTAATACATTTTACTACGATGCACGCACATCAATATATTGATGTGCGTGCATCGTATGTACGAATGATAGTTAGTAAAATGTATTAAATATAAAAAATATAATATATAAATATAAATATATAAAATATAAATATAAAAAATAAATATAAAAAAAGTAATAATATCAATATATTGATATTATGAATTCATTGTACAGTTCAATGTAACAACTGTGTTCTAATCATTATCCCTTCGGTTTCGAATTTATTCTTTTTTTTCTTCCAATAAAACTTTATACAATATCTTTTTCTTACAAATCGAGAGACGAAACGATAGAATCCCGTGAAAATTGTATCTACTGATTTATGATCAGTTTTGTTCTTTTGAACTCTTTCTCATTCGTCGAAAATGATGTACTTTAACTCTTTCAGTTATAAAAATCTCAATTACTCAATTTTAATTTTCACGCGTATCATTAATAATATCAAAATTGATATTATTAATAATATCAATTTTGATATTATTAATGATACGCGATAACAAATAGACGACACTCTTGGAAGACTTGGAAGAGAATTAAAATCCATGCTAGATTTTATTAATAATTGCATAGCATTTTATTAATTATTTATTATTAATTATATCAATATTAATAATATCAATATATTGATAATACTATTGATAAAACTTTATACAATATCTTTTTCTTACAGATCGAGAGACGAAACGATAGAATCCCGTGAAAATTGTATCTACTGATTTATGATCAGTTTTGTTCTTTTGAACTCTTTCTCATTCGTCGAAAATGATGTACTTTAACTCTTTCAGTTATAAAAATCTCAATTACTCAATTCGTCGACATCTGTTTTGGGGGTACCGTACGCTGGGTTCGTGGGACCACATAGTGCGACATGGATTCGCGATTTATAATCGACTTTTTAATTGCCCTAGAGACAAATTGCAACAATACAAAAAACAAAAACAACTAAATAAAAGACAAATAAAAATATGATGTTATATGGAAACGAAAAAAATGAAATAAAAAATTTGCATCTCCTGCATATGAACAAACTATCGAAAAAAAGAGCATTACCCTTTGCCGATGTACTTGCTGTCTTCGTGCACGGTGGGCAGCAGACTTGGTCCGCAGGAGATGGACATCTTGCGACTACCCGAACTCGAGCTCGGGCAACCGCTGGAATCGGCATTCTGGCGGGTCTGAACGTACTGCACGTACACGTCGGATTGAAGGAACTTCGGATACATCGTCTTGTTGATCAGCTGCTCGACCTCCAGCTGCGCGATGTCAAACACCTTGTGATCGGTGCGGCCCTCCTTGACCCGCCGATCCACCTCCTTCATTATATCCTCCGGTACGCTTAGCGGCGACTTGAGGAAAAACTGTCGATAGATGATCTTCACCAATCTCGAGATCTTGTCCATGTCCTTTTGTTTTTTGAGGCCCTCGCAGGCGAACCAGAAATTGAGCGGATCCAGATGCCCTTCCTGACTTAGGTACCTTTTGAACAACTCCAAGCCAGTCGGATCCCCTAATAAGGATTGAAAATTTCTCGCCCACCGCGGGGAGCGAATTCCCGGATCAGCGACAAACGGTTGAGCAGGTACCCCCATGCTCGTCGTTTCTCTGTTTGGCAACAGACGAACGTCCTTGTTTGCGGAAGGCTGCACATTGCTGACCACGCTCACTCCACTATTCGTCGTCGACTTTTTCGTAGCTGACCGTCTCGTATCCGACCTTCGGAATTTTTGGTCGTGACCTGCGCAAAACATTTTACATTTTACTAACTATCATTCGTAGATACGATGCACGCACATAGCGCCATTCGTTATACCTTGAACGTGACTCATGGAACCAGCTCCAACAAGATCGCTGCCCTCTTCAAAGTTATAGATATTACCGCTATCCATTGTGGAGTCCATATATCTATGTGGAGTCCTTCTCTCGGGTGAGAGTCTGGGTGATGTTGAAGGTGAAATGAACCAGATATCGCGAGATATGTGCTCGTCGAAGATCGCCTGAGCGCTGTCCTCCTCCATAGATTCTCTCCGTGGTAGTGGTTCCGCAACCCTCCGGTTCAAATCCCGGTGCGGAAGGATGTCGGAGGCCTGCAGTGTCGCGAAAGAAGAGCGTCTTGGTATCAGAGCGGGACTCTAGACTCCTTGTGTGTGACCTATGTCGACTTCGACTTGCAGCGAAATGACTCGCTGGGAGCCTTTCTCGCATTGTTCGCTGAGGAAAGCTTTCAAACACGGCGACGGACGTAAACCTGCGAATTCCTTTCTTTGTTTGTTTGCAGAGAGAGAGAGAGAGATATCACGAGACACGGTAGTGTCTCGCGCCAAGTATAAGCGACTAACAAATAAGCGTATATATACCTCTTCCGAGCGAGCCGAAGGTGGACTGGTCGAATACGATATGATATCGTGATTCGAGGGCCTCGATGAAAGGGAAAGAAAATGTTTGTCAGCAACGGCGACCCGGCATTAAGTTAAGAGGCTTTTCCAGCCGTATCAATTTTACTGCAGACATCTCCTCATTGTCGGAGGATCTCCCCGGGTTCATTCTCAAATGGGCGGACGGACGCCTTCGATCTGGTCCGCGAAATTTCCTCCTCGTGGCGGCGAAACAGAGCTCGACAACACAATCGCCGTTGACGTCTTGACGACGCGCATCGCCGAATCGCATTTCTTTTCTCGTACTCTCCTCACATAAAACTGAGGTGCAGGATTACGGGACAAAATTTTAAACAAGTATAAGCGACTAAGTATAAGCGTAAATGTAAATTTTTAAATAAGTATTTGTAAAATACTTGTTTAAAATGTAAAATGTAAAATGTAAATTTTTAAATAAGTATTTTACAAATACTTATTTAAAAATTTATTAAATAATAAATTAAATAATAAAAAAATTAATTAAATAATAAAAAGTATTTTACAAATACTTATTATTTAATAATCTTCTCAAATAAGTCAAAATTTGTATTGTTAGTGCCTTTCCGATCCTTGTCTATTTAACAAAAGTTTATGGGACAACACTTATATGTACAGTAAAAAAAAAGAGTCAAAAACATTTAATGAAATTTTATTTCTTAATTTCTACGTATTTTCATTTTTAGTGGCTGTTTCACAAATTGTCTCGTCTCTTTTTTCATCTCTTTCTAGACTTTCTTGCTGTTCGTAATGTAGAGGTAATCTATCGCCCCATTCACTGTCTCTCGCACAACGGTACATATGTCTAGCAATAAAAAAACATTTATAATCGTGTAACCATATATTCAAATGCAATTATTCAATAGATACATACCTTCCATGTTTGTATTTTGTAAATATCTCCTCCTTCAGATGGCCGTTGGCAGTGCACATGCGACAGATTGCGTGATTAGACCGTTTTAGTATGGTTCGTACGATCCTTGGCCACTGCTCGTCGTCCTCAGGACGTTTGACTGTGAAAAAAAGTTATTTATGAAAATTTTGCATCTTCTTATTGAAAAGGATATTACGTAACGCATGGAAAAAACTCTCATTAATCAATATAATATATTGTACAAGTTTCATCGCGTTTTTCTAATAATAAGATTGAAATCATTGTTTCTGTCACTTTAATTGTCGCCCTAACTCACGTTTCTTTAACACTACGTAGGAATACAGCTCCGATTGGTGTTTCCGACCGCCCAAAAATTGCAACGGATGATATAAAACGCTAAAATTGCACGGCGTATCGTCGCTGGCTAATCTCGGACACCTCAGATCGTGTGGACACTAAATTGCGACAATAATATAAGAGATATAATTAATGTACCATATTCAGAATCTTTACTTAAGCGGCGAAAGTACTTACAGGTGAGAAAACATGGGCACATTGTGTCTCACTTCTACGTTTCGTATATCTGAGAATAATATCTCGCGCCTCATTCACTAGCTTTCAGGAAAGAAATAATAAGAATGGGAGAATTAAAACAAATATATATGTGTATATAAAATATAACAGAAAGTAAAATCACTGAACACTTACTTTGAAACCTGCATTGGTTCCTTCTTCTACAATAATGAGGTAATTTTCAGTTTTTGTCCAAAGCTTCAATATCGCATCAAGACGCGATTCCAAACCCGGTAACTCAAACAAAGTATGTGCACTCACTACGATATCGTAAGTTCGCTGAACATAATAAAGTTACATCAAATTATATTTTGTTCACGAAAACATTAATATGTATAGCATTTCACATTATTCTTACGTTTGTAGAGATAGGAAAATATTGACGAGAAAAAACTTCCTTGATCTTAGGTTTGGCAGCTTTGGCTAATCTTTCCGACAGTTCAATCATGAATTCCGATGGTTCAACACAAAAGTATTCTTGCAATGTATTCGACCAGATCTCAGATGCCGCCCTATGGAGTTTTACTTTCTTTAATTTCTTTCAATTGGTTATTTTAATCAGTTTCATTTATTATAAACAAGAATAGAAACTTTCCTCCTTCTTTCGCAAGTGAATAATTAACGGAATTAAACAAATTTTTAGTCAACACGACTGGCTATTTGATGAAGCTGACAGACAGTTGTGTCGACTAAAAACTTATTTAATTCCTTCATTTATTATGTTTTAAGTTTTTTTTAAATTAGTTGCAATAATTGATTTTTCTATATTTACCACATGACTGTGCCAACACCAGAGCCAAAGTCGAACAATGTTTGGGGCTTAAAATCTTTGTCGCGCAATTTGATTTCGCTAAAAATCTTATGCGAAACTGCATAATTCTGGACACTTCTACCAGCTAAATACGTCAAACAGGTGAGTTTATCAAACTTTATTGGTTGCCAATTGTAAATATTTTGCTTCAAGATCTTCCTGGCTATTCCATTTTTATGGAAATCTACATCCTCTATCGATATCCTCTGGCCCGTGTTTATAGCATTTAAACGGTTTTCCACTTTCTCTAATTTTGCTGGTACTTCAAATTGTTCTAATGGTGGGTGGCGATTATTTAAGTGACAGGTTAGCGCCTTTGAACTCTCTTTAATTTTCTGCAGGTTTACTTGCTTCTCTACAAATAGTATTAAAAAGTTAATATAGTTAACAGTGTAATGTTTCACAAATATTTTAGACATAAGAATCACGTGCACGTGTACAAACCATACCTTTCAAAATACTGTGTATTTCCTGTAATGCCCACTTTGGAAATTGCGGTGTTCTAGGAGTAACGGTACCCGGATGATGCCTATATTTCATCTCATTATTAGAGAATGAAGTAGACACTGTATCGTCAAGTACAGCCGTTGGTTTTGCTGAAAACTAAATACAGGCCTCACGTTATCGTGTCAATTCTTTCAAATGTGTACATATACACCGAAAAAAGTTGCATTCTTGACATGTGTACTTGACAAAAATCCTCTTAATTAACAGATATACTTGTTGAAGAAGAATATTTCCTTCTTAACATCGTGTTCTTTTGGAATATCTTTTTAAATTAAGAATATACTCTTAATATCAAGAGTGTATTCTTAATTCGCACAACTTTAGCGATAGAACTTTCTGTATGCGCGATGTAGTCCGCCGTGTAATGCGTCTCGGTACGTGTAATGCCTGTTTCATCACGTTTTAGGTGTTGTTTGTAATTGCTGTGTGGTATCCTGACTGAAATAATGGATGAGGAAGTGGTTGAGTGGTTAGAAAGACAAGATTTAAACCATTTGAAGGACAAATATAAAATGGAACAGCTCATGAATCCTGTTGATCTTCCTGACAGAGTCTCGCATCAGTTTCTGATTACAGAAAATAAGGGGGCAAGCTACAACTTGTCGAAGAAATCTATTTAGCTATGCTGTATCTGTCTGTACTGTAACAAATAGTAAATGTTTATTTGCGGAACTGTTTTCATTGCGACTAATGATCCCAACTATTGAATAATATATGACAGGCAAATGTATCATCTAGTGTACATTCTTATATTATTAAAAATATCTAATAGGAGTATCCTGATTAGACGATTCCTCCCTTAAA